TATCAGGACCAGTTTGATTGATATCAGGACCAGTTTGATTGATATCAGGACCAGTTTGATTGATATCAGGACCAGTTGATTGATATCAGGACCAGTTAGATTGATATCAGGACCAGTTTGACTGACATCAGGACCAGTTAGATTGATGTCAGGACCAGTTAGATTGATATCAGGACCAGTTAGATTGATGTCAGGACCAGTTAGATTGATATCAGGACCAGTTTGATTGATATCAGGACCAGTTAGATTGATATCAGGACTAGTTAGATTGATATCAGGACCAGTTGATTGATATCAGGACCAGTTTGATTGATATCAGGACCAGTTAGATTGATATCAGGACCAGTTGGATTGATATCAGGACCAGTTAGATTGATATCAGGACCAGTTTGATTGATATCAGGACCAGTTTGATTGATATCAGGACCAGTTAGATTGATATCAGGACCAGTTGATTGATATCAGGACCAGTTAGATTGATATCAGGACCAGTTTGACTGACATCAGGACCAGTTAGATTGATGTCAGGACCAGTTAGATTGATATCAGGACCAGTTTGATTGATATCAGGACCAGTTAGATTGATATCAGGACCAGTTGATTGATATCAGGACTAGTTAGATTGATATCAGGACCAGTTGATTGATATCAGGACCAGTTAGATTGATATCAGGACCAGTTGGATTGATATCAGGACCAGTTTGACCAGTTGGAGAGCAGTGTAGACGATCAGACTAGATGTTTCGGGGTTTTTCTCTTGGAGCATTCCGGCGCTGTGGTCGTGATGAATCAGTCTGAATTAGCCGTACTTAGAGCTCAGACGGCTCCAGCGTTGGGTTTCAAATTAAAACAAAAACAGCCGTATCGCCACATCTGCGCTGCATCTTCTCTGCAACACGATCCGCGTTCTGCCACAGCGGACGCCCAGGCTTCCTCCCGGATGTCCTCTTCCTGCCGCCGCCAGCTCCACCTCAGGTCCGCCTGCTGATGACGGGGAGCCATGAATGTGGGAATGCGTGGAGAAACGTGTGGAGTGTTAGCAGCTGATTGAGGCTGGAAGCATCAAGCAGAAGATTTATTCCCGCCTGGTTCTGATCCGATCCCGGCTCTCACCCGAGGCCTCCGGTACCAGGATCGGCTCGGCTCCTCAAGCTTCGCCTCAGGGAGGGAAACTGAGAAACAGCGACTGCCTGGAGATAAAAACTAGTTCCTGAAGTTCACAGAAACTTCCGCACTGAAGAGCGTTAACTATTGCAGCAAACCAGATTCAGCAGCATCCATCCATCCATTCAACCATCCATCCATCCATCCACCCAACCATCCATCCATCCATCCATTCATTCAACCATCCATCCATTCAACCATCCATCCATCCATCCACCCAACCATCCATACATCCATCCATCCATTCAACCATCCATCCATTCAACCATCCATCCATCCATTCAACCATCCATCCATCCATCCATCCATCCATTCAACCATCCATCCATTCAACCATCCATCCATCCATCCATCCATCCACCCAACCATCCATCCATCCATCCATCCATCCATCCATCCATTCAACCATCCATCCATCCATCCACCCAACCATCCATCCATCCATCCATCCATTCAACCATCCATCCATTCAACCATCCATCCATCCATCCATCCATCCATCCATCCATCCAATCATCCATTCAACCATCCATCCATCCATCCATTCAACCATCCATCCATCCATTCAACCATCCGTTTTTTCATCTCTATATTTTCCTCTCAGATCTCTGATTGTTTCTGGTTTTTCCGACTCTCTTTGATCTCAGCTGAACGTTTCTGTGTCAGAAAATATTTTTTAAATCAAAATCTTTCAGAGCCAAACAGTCAGTGAAAATATTAATTTATTTATCTGGCCGGAAACAAATTAAAACGCTGCTTCACGTCCTGCTGAGGTAATCTGATAATTGAAGCTCTAACATTTTATAAACCAATTACTTTTATTATTTTTTTTATTATTAGAAAAATCAGTTTAATCTTTATGGAGGCAAAGTTAACAAGTGTTTTCTTGTGAACGGATTGTTTTAAACATTGCTTTTGGAGATTTGTGGAGGAAATAATTGCCAGTCTGCTGGGTTTCTGTTCAGCCTTAATGTGACGAGTTCAGAAACACTTGAAACAGCAGATTTGTTCAATTTTCTACAAATACATGGAAACATTTTCACTCTGCAGTTTAGTTCACACCTGAAATGTTATGCTGCAGCTATTTCCTCCCGGTCTGGTTGACTTTATGCCACATTTTTAACTCGCCAACATCTCACATCTCGATTTTCTTCCTCTTTGAATGTGTCTGAATCTGAGGAAGACTCTCGACTCAGATCAATCCAAAACTTGCAGTTTTCTCATTTTTATCCTATTAAGTCATTTTTTTGTTGTTTGGTTGTGTGTTTGTTCTCATTGTGAAGCTAAAATATAAAATTAATTCTAATCTTCAGTTTTCTACTTAATTATGATTGATATTTTAAAGAATTGGTATTTTACTGTGGATCTGCCACTAGATTATGCCTTTTTCAGTTGAACCTTACAGGATTTACTGTATCAGATTACATGTGGAGAAAGTTTTTTATTGAAATTATTTGTTTACATTATATACATATAAAAAAAGCCTTTTAATGGGGAGTGTTCAACTTTCTCATCCGTCAACTCTGACCTTTCTGGGCTGTTTCTGATCAAACCTGTATGAGTGTCTCCTCCTGGTGGAGAAAGGCCAGTACTGCAGCTCCACATTGAACCACAAAGTGGAAACAAACTTTATAATCAAGGAGACTCAAAAAAGCCACTTGCTGAAAGAACAACACAAATGATCCCTAAAGTTGTTGCATTTTAAGCAACAAAGTGTTTTTTGTTTTGTTTTTTTACTTGAAGCATTTCATGTGTTTCTGGTTTTGTGAAAGAAAAAAAGGGTAAAGTGGTTAAATGAAAAGTCTGGAGAACTTGGCCATTTTTTATTTGAATTATAGTTAAACAAAAACATTCTATGCTAATTGGTTGGTTTAATTGCAAATGAGAGATTATATGTAAATGTTTGTGAGTCAACAGTTTGAGTTTTGTTTTGTTTTGTGGATCTGAGCTCGTAAATGTTCGCTTCGCAGCTGGGAGTTTGTCAGGAAACTGTGTTTGGTTTTTATGAGCGTTTAGTTCCAGGAATGAACAGATTTTGAAACCTGATTGTGTCGTGTTCCGCTGCATTGATTTGATTTTTCTCTCTGGATCAGATTTTTACCTGCTGAGGATATCGGAGTGTGTTTGTGCTCCCCTCATACCTCCACAGAATCTGCATGTCCAGCCTCTTTGTTGAGCGTATCCGCTTTGGATCTTATTAACGCCGCCGGCTGAATGGCCGCCTCATCAGATCCTCTCTCTCCTTCTTTTATCTCTCTCTTTTTTTATTCTCTCTGCCTCTTTGTCCGACCAGAGCTGCGCTCATTTCCTTCTCTGACCGTAATCGTCATCAGCGGCTCTCCGCCGGCTCTTTCAAGCTGTTTAATGCCGGCGGTGCGGCCGCTGTTCGTTCCCAGATCGGCGTCGTTAATGCCGGGGATAATCTGCAGGACTGCAGGCTGAAAAGCTGCCCAGTTCAAGCAGAGCGGAGACACTTGAAATGTACAAAGGAAAGAGTTGTTTTTGATTATCCCAGCGTTCATTAAGAGGCTGAGTTTACACGCAGAGTGATGCCTCCTGCAGCATTTCCTATCTGTGCTCAGGTGTTAACTTGGGCCAAAATGAAAACATGAAGGAGCCACATTTTATTTTTACTGTTTATTTTTGCAGTTAAAAATTGAAAATTATTGTGTTGTGATTTATTTTCTCTTTACCTGCTAAGAAACAAATCAACTTGTAATATTTGCATTTTAAAAACCTGGAAAAGGACCTTAAACTTGTACAGTGACACTTTGACACCAACAGGCTTTTCTGAATGATTCACAAGCAAAACAATCAGATCTGCTGGGATTAAATGATCAGATGAGCATAAAATACTCAAAATGTTCTGCTTTTAGTTTTTATTTCAACATAACATTTGGCTTAGATTTTGTATTTATTCAACATTTTCTCAGATTATTAGAAAAACATCAAGAAAAATATTAGTTTTTTAAATTTATTTCTTTTATTTTCTTCATTGTCAGATTAATTCTGTTAATCTTGCCTTCGTTTCTGCATTTATTCTGGCATTTAATGCCACATTTATTACTTCATTCCTCCATTTGTTTATTGAGTCTTTTCTTGATTTCCATATTTTGATTTGCTTTAATTCTTGCATTTGCTGCCTTGCTATTTCCAACATTCCTTCTTTTATTACTTTCCTTTTTCCCACTTTTATTCCTGAACGTGTTCCTTCTTACAGCTTTTATTTCCATCTTTATTCTCATCTTAACTTTTATGTATATTCTTTATTTCACTTTTTTACCCATGATTTTACCATTCCTTGCTTTATTTTCATCTCCCTTCCTTTATTTATTCATTCATTATTTATTTATATTCTTTTTGGTACTAATTAACAATTCAAGTTTTTGGATAAACTTTGGATTTAAAGGAGAAGAAAGAACCAATTCTTTCTTCAGACAGTAGACATTAAACGATGGAAAATCTAACATAAAGTTCATCTTCTGAGTTAAAAGCTGGTGGTGAATTTTCTGGAATTGTTTCTGTTTGTTGCTTTATTTTGTTTTGTCTCTTTTTCTTTGATTCAGATGTAAAGTTAGTTTGTTACCAGTAGGGGGCGCCATTTCTCTTCTAAGGTGTCCAGATACAATCCTTTAAATTTTACGAGTTAATTTAGTTAAATTTGAAATAAATATTGTGATATAGTCATTAAATTACTTGAAAATAGTCTCCAAACAACAATATTATCATTTATTATTAGACAAGTTATCGTGTCAGAAATATGAATATTTCAGTTTCAATGAAAACGTTGCCGTTTTTCTGGATTTTTGAACCGGGTTTTTGTTGTTTGTGTGCAGAACTCGGCGCTCACTCTGCTCTGCGAACAGGCAGACTCCTGGATTAAACGCCTTCCTCTGACCTCTGACCCTTCGGCAGCCAACTGCAGCATCTACAGCCGAGGTGAGCGCTCCTCCGTCTGCCTCCGCAGGGATCCGTCAGGCCGTCAGTCTGAGTGTAAATCTGCTGGCTTCCAGGTGAGGAGCTGTTCTGTAAGGTCACCACAGAGGTCAGGGCTGGTGGAAAGATCCTCGCTTCTCTGTCGCCGCCTTCCTCTTCCTCCTCCTCCTCTTCCTCGCTGGCAGCCCAGCTGTCTCCTCCACTGCAGCCAGCGGTGAAGGAGGAGCCTCTGTACCCGGCGGCGCTGCGCTCCGACATCCAGCTGCTTCCCCAGCAGGCCGGCATGGCGGCCATCTTGGCGACCGCGGTGGTCAACAGTGAGTACTGCGTCACTACCTACCTACTGAGGCAATATTTAACTTGATAAGAATATGAGCTAGAAGTCCCTCAAAAAAGTTTCTAAAGTTTCTGAACTAAATTTTAGAAATACATTTTTTTTTAATCTTTTAAAGTAACATGAATCAATATTTTTTCCAAATTTGCAGTCCAAACTTGTGTCCATCTTTTTCTATTTTATCAAATGTTCATCAGTCTTAAAGATTTATGGAAAACATCACGTTATGTTGTAATGCTCAGTATGGCCACTAGAAGGCAGTGTCAGTCTGTAGAAAATAGACGCTTTTATGGATTTTCTAACAGGCTTACAGACACTTCATGCAGTTTCACACTGCAGGAAGTCATTACAGGTGATTGAAAATACATAATAGAACATAATTAATGTCTGCAGCAATCATGCATCATTGTCCGTTGTTAAGGTTTGGATTTATAGAGTTCGAATGGATTTTATGTCAATAAAGTTGAATAACGGATCCTTGTCTCTCTCTCTGAATTTCTGTTTTTCTTGGTCAACAGAGGATATTTTTCCATGCAAAGACTGTGGGATCTGGTACCGCAGTGAGCGGAACCTGCAGGCCCACCTCATGTACTACTGCGCCAGCCGGCAGAAGCAGCCGGCTGCGGCCTCTTCGCCCCCGCAGGACAAGCCCAAAGAGTCGTACCCCAACGAGCGCATCTGCCCATTCCCACAGTGCAACAAAAGCTGCCCCAGCGCCAGCTCTCTGGAGATCCACATGCGCACACACAGTGGTGAGAGACGTCTCTTGACGTGTGGGGTGGGCGGATCAGCCGGACAAGCTTAATTTTCCCTTCACCGTCTCTTTCCTCAGGTGAGCGTCCGTTCGTTTGTCTCATCTGCCTTTCAGCCTTCACCACTAAAGCGAACTGTGAGCGCCATCTTAAGGTCCACACAGACACACTAAACGGCGTCTGTCACGGCTGCGGCTTCGTCTCCACCACGAGAGACATCCTCTATAGCCACCTGGTCACCAGCCACATGGTGTGCCAGCCGGGATCTCGCAGTGAGGTCTACTCTCCTGGACCAGGCCTTCCCAAACTGCCCCTCTCCACTGGTGCGTCCAAATATCATTAGCTGTGTTTCCATTGCAAATGTGCCAAAACCTGTACAATCTTTGATAATGTGGAAACAATACTTTATCATTATTTTGATTAGGGCTTTACAGAAGGGCTATGGACACATTTAAATGACAAATGAACTTTGGATGAACTGTGCAATGCTCTGGTGGAGCCAGCTGCTCATCGTCCAATGCCTACAAATAAACAATCTGGTATAATGCAAAAAAAGTGTTTCCATTGCAGTTTTGCAAAATCGTCACGTTCTCATTAATCCAATTTATTTTTGTAATGCCATTTTGCATAATCTTATGGTGAATGCAAATGCAGCTACCAAGACTTTGCGTTTCTGCCATTAGGGTTTGTATTAACACTACTATCATTAACAGGTCTAAGCCCCGGAGACTCCGGTGTGGTGCTCAAGTGTCAGGTTTGTGGCCATAACGCTGACTCACCCGCCCAGCTGCAGCAGCATGTTCGGACCCACCTGGAGGTCAGGGTCCCGGCTGAAAGGAGCCCTACTCCTCGCCAGAGCGCCCCCTTGTCAGCCGAGCAGCCCCAACTGTCCCCACATGAGAGGGAACCACTAGCTTGTGTTCCCAAACCAGATTCATCAAGTCCAGGAGCAAACGGGGGATCAGCAACGCCTCGAGACTTCAGTTCTCCTGACGCTCAGACTTCAGAGCTGAAGATCAAGGAGGAGCCGCAGTCAGAATCGGAGACAGAGGAGCAGCAGATGGAAATGAAAGAGGATGCGGAGGAGGAGGGTGTTGGTGGCGAGGATCCGGATCAAGAAGTACGAAAGACTACAAAGGAAGAGCCAACTATGAACTCTTCCTGTCAAGCACCAAACTCTCCAAAGAGTCCCCCTAACCCAACCGTTAAGGCCGAACCAACCAGTCCCACACCTGGTTCCAGTCCTGCCCACGTTGGAGGAACAGGTTCAGGCGTCGCAGGAGGATCAATCTTCCTTCCCCAGTACATGTTAAACCCTGAAGCAGCCATCCTGCCACAGGCATCAGAGATCCTGGCAAAGATGTCCGAGATGGTCCACAGTCGGCTGAAACAGGGCCAGGCGGTCATTCAGAGCAACGCGGCCACCTTCTTCACCTCCGGACCTACCACGGCTGCAGCTGCAGCAACTGCCACTCCACCCCAGAAAGGAGCCACCTGCTTTGAGTGTGACATCACTTTCAATAACATCAACAACTACTATGCACATAAGAGGCTTTACTGTTCCAGCAGACACCAGGGAGAGGGTGCAAGCTCAACCTCAGGGTCCGGAGTCTCTGCGCCTGCAGCTTCTGGTGGACTTCCCAGCTCGTCTCCTCAGATCGGAGCATCAAGCAGAGCCGCGTCCGTCTCACCAACAAACTCTGAGCCTCCTGCAGGAACCGGAGTGGCAGAATCTAAGAGGCTAGTTGAGGTAAAGACAGAAACTCCTACAGGGAAAGAAGGAGTGTCGTCCTCTTCAGAGGGTGAAGGTGGTGGAGGAGGAAGGGCAAGCGAAGGCAGTCAAAGTCCTGCCAGCGGTTCTACAGAGGACATGGAGGACGACCCTAACAAAACCTTCTGCGAGGCCTGCAACATCCGCTTCAGCCGTCATGACAACTACACCATTCACAAACGGTTCTACTGCGCGTCTCGCCATGACCCATCCAACCAGCGGGCCACCCACATGTCCAAGACCTCCAACACCGCAGCCTTCCTTCCTCAGCCCATCCGCACTCGCAAGAGGAAAAAGATGTACGAGATCCACATGGCTCGAACAGAGGCACTAGCTAACGCCGCCGCTGCTGCCACCACCTCCGCGGCTTCTGCTCCCTCTCCTTCCGTTCTGGGTTTGGTGGTGAAGCAGGAAGTATCTCCTGGCGGTGCGGGGGGCTCCAGCCCCGAAGGAGAGGGCCCCATAGACCTGAGCAAGAGACCTCGGTTGAGGGAGACTCCTCGGCACAACAGTGGCGGCGGGATTCTCCCGGCGCTTCCTCTAACCGATTACCACAAGTGCACCGCCTGCAGCATCAGCTTCAACAGCATTGAGAACTACCTGGCCCATAAGACCTACTACTGCCCGGCCACCACTCTGCAGCCCCACACCCTGGAGCAGCTTCACAGGCTCAAGAGGTCGGCCTCCACTTCCCCTAAGAGCAGACCCCAACAGGAGCGGCTGGACCTCCTCCATCCTGCTGAGGCTAAAGCATTGCCTGCTGAGTGGGTTGCCCAGGGTCAAGGGGCGTCCCCCAGCCCTCGCCCCTCTGCCTTACCCGCTTCTGGTGCAGCATCTCCCTCGCATGCAACACTCGCAGCCACTCCAGGAGCCGGAGCTAAAGGAGCGGCTGCCAGTTCCTCCCTAGCGGTCTGCCCGTACTGCCCGAACCGGCCCATCACCTGCGACCTGGTGGAGCACTTCAAGACCACCCATGGGCTGGTCTTAACCGTTCAGCGTCCGGCGGAGACCCCGCCGCGGCCCGGCAGGGCGGTCAGCCGCAGCCCAAGCCTCAGTCCCAGGGATGGGGTCACCGGCGCCACCACCCCCACCAACCAGGCCAAGATGGCCTCCCGAGTCCACAGAGACAGCGTTAACGGACAGTCCTGCAGCGGCGCTGCTTCCCCTGCGTCCCCGCAGGTGAACGGCAGCCCGTCAGTTGCGGGAGGATCGCCTTCTTCTGCCTCTCCCCTCCCCGTGTCTCCGCCCCGCGGCCCCTCTCTGACTGTCTCACCCGTGCCTGAGGCTCCGCGGGAGAAGGTGGCGCCCGTCCACCTTCCCGAGAGCCCGGCATCCAATCCCATCGCCGGACCCAAAATGGCGGTAATCTCTCCGGTCCAGAACGGTAACTCCCGCTTCTGCCGGCTGTGCAACATCAAGTTCAGCAGCCTTTCCACGTTCATAGCTCACAAGAAATACTACTGCTCCTCCCACAGCGCTGAACACGTCAAGTGAACTCTCTAATCTCTCTTCTTCCCCATCTCCCATGTCTTTCTGAGTGGACTGAACGCAGAGAGGCGCCCCCTGTTGGAGGAACCAACACAGATGACTGTTACGTCCCATTTTCTGCAGGTGGTGTTAGGAACTCAGTGGTTTCCTCTCCAAATGGGTCAGTTTTCACACACTAAGAGCTGAGACGCGTCCTCGTCACCTTCCCGACCTGAACGGAGGGAAATTTCAGACTCAATCGTTGTTAATGTTTTTATTCTCTGTGCATAATGTATGATGTCTGAAAACAGAAATCTATGATGCTTTTGTTTTAACACTGGCTCTTGTTTTAGTTTTTTTCTGGGTGGAAAAAGCAGAGATCCCCGTGTTACTAATTTACTGAAGGATGGACGCTTTCTTTTCATACGCGCAACTTTGTTTTTGTTTTTTCTTCAAAGAGCAAGGGAGAAAAGAAATGTGAAATATTTATCTTTGAGTCCTCACTGATTTCACGTCGACAGAAAACTACCTACCTGTTATCTGAGAGTATTTGTATTTTTTATTTGTATATTTTTTCATACTGTCTGAAGGCCGTGATTGGATCAGGTGAGCTGAAGTGACTTTTCTAAGTGTAGATATGTAATATCTTCTCACAGTAATCACTGGGATCACACTGAGCTTTGTTATTATCACGTTAGCATTTTGTTAGCTGGTGGTGAGGTTCATTTTTATTTTTTAATTTTTCTTCTCTGCTTGTTGCTGATTAGATGTTCGATTAGATCGCAGCGGCTCGCTGATTGTTGAAGATGATGATGATGATGAAGCCCCGCGGGTTTCAGGTTAAATTAGTTTTTATCCGGTGATGAAGGCACATCGTTGTGTTTACGCCACATGTTCCCATGCAGCAGGACAGTGTTAGCTCAAACTGTGAAAACTTTTTGATTTGGAATAGACGCATCAGGACACAGTGGGGACGATCTATCACATCTTCACTCAGTCTGATATTCTGGCACTTAAAGCTTCGTAAACTGGTTTTAACCTCATGTTCCCTCAGAATAATATTTCTTCTTCCAACATTTTGGATTTGATCTGATCAGACACATAAGCAGCCTGAAAACTGTCTCCATCCTGCACAAAATTAAGAAATGAACAAGGAAAACTTTTTTTGCTGCTGATTTAAAGGTCCATTATGTGGGAAATGTAACTTACATTTAGCAGGAGGCAGATCTGCTGCTAAATGCAAGTGGTTTGGTTTGTCCCCTCTCTGTTACAGTAGTTGTTTGTTGAAATCTCACCAAGTATTTTTGGTCTAGTGCAGTGCTTCTCAATTATTTTCCGTTACGCCCCCCCTAGCAAGAAGAAAACTATTTGCGCCCCCCACTCCCCACCGTGACTATCCATCTCTGCATAACATTTTTTCCTTATTAACATTTTTTTCGCTGAAAAAACTCTAGCGGCTTATCGGCGTGATTGGGATGTAACGTATTTAAGTGACGCGCTAATTTATTTGGCTTCATGCTGTCCACTGCGAGCATTTTTAGACACAGCAAACACACCGGTCTTTCCTCTTCTCCAACTGTAGCCACAGTGAAGCCAAGCGCTAAATACGCTTCGTCGTATTTCCTCGTCTTAGCTTTCGGTTGACTTTCTGTTGTCTCATTATCTTTGTCTCTCTCCGCTTTTCTTTTCATCCCTGTGAAAAACTTTTTCATGTTGGGGGTTGTTGAATAACGGAGGCCATAGACAGAACGCAGTCGGAGCTTTTTGTTGACTTAACACTGCTAACCAAGGCAAACCTGTTGTCTTGTAAGTCATGAAATGTTGCACTGTCGCAAACGTGACAGAAGTAACAATGAGAGCGCCACTGCCGCCTACTGTGCGCAATTACACTTTATACTAGTACAGCCAAAAAAAAAGCCTGTTCCCCAGGATCACACGCGCCCCCCCAGGTATCGCACCGCGCCCCCCAAAGGGGGCCCGCCCCACTATTTGAGAAGCACTGGTCTAGTGCAAGTAACTTAACACACTTGAAATAAGGCAAAACTAACTCACAAGTAACTTTTCAGCAAGATGGAGGAGCTTGTTTTCAGTAAATAAGTTATTAATGCTGATGAGACACGACTGAAAATGTCTTGTTATAAGTGAAATATTCTGCCATGGAACTAGTTTCTTAATCTGTTTTAAGGACTTATTTATCTAAAACCAGCTCCTATAACTGCTGAAAGTTACTTGTGAGCGAGTTTGGTCTTTTTTCAAGATGTTTGCACCAGAATATTAACATTTTGTTGATGGAAAAAAAAGAGCTTCTACCAAAAAACTCAGAAGTTTTCAAAAAAAGACAAGGACATTTTTGAGCCCCTAAAAGTCAAACATTTGCTAGAAACAACTCAGAATATTTTAGATTAATTTCAGAAAATGTCTAGAAAAAACAGAAAATTCTGAGATTAAAAAGCTGAAATGCTTTACTATAAAAACTGAACATTTCCAAACATTGAATACTTTTTACTGCTAAACTTAAGTTTTTTTCTAGTTTTTTCAAACTCAGAAATTGACATTAGCAGCATAAAATAATATGACATTGGGAACAAGAACATTTTCATCAATATTAAGGAACTGTTGTCTTAAAACAAGCTCCTGTATCTTATTGAAAAGTAACTTATAAGTTAATTTAGTCTGATTTGAGATTTACTAAGACAATGACACTAAAATACTTGGTAAGATTTGGTGTTTTTGCAGTGGCTCCACCTCACTGTACCATTATGGACCTGTAACTAAATGGGACCCAGAAATGGTACGGGTCACTCACATGTCCCACTGTCACAATTGAAACGGACTAAATAACGTACCAAATCGCACTGACCAGCGCCATACGACGCAAAGGTCAAACACAACGGTTAATAATTGGTTTTCTGCAGGTTGATCATGTGAGACCAAGTTTGTGACCCAGTCAGGGTTTTTGACTGGGAGGTTTAGGCAATAAAATTACCAATTTGACCAAGTTTAAACGAGACGCCACCAATTCTCACCTAGAAAATTCTGTTAAATGAGACATAATGAAGGATTCATTAATAACTTTCACACTGGATGAAGATCTTGCTACTCTGTTCTGGACCTCAACAATCTTTTGGACATGGTTGGAAACTTGACCTGCTGCACTGTCAGCATCACACAACTAGGTTTTACCACCATTTTTCATGTCGGAGAGATATTTCATCACACTCTATAGGTCAATAATTCCCTAATGTTGATTGAAAAACATAAACGAGACATTTTCCCAGTGAAATAATCTGCCTGTGGAACCAGTACTGCATTGAAATGAATGTAAAATAGCATCATTCTTTTGAGGCTATTTAGGTAACATATTGATGATAATAATTAAAGTTTGCAATCTTAAATATAAGTAAACATTAATTTTGTAGACGATGTCAAATCTCCCCCAGAAAATAAACACAACCAAAAACAATAAAAAAAATGGCAATAAAAATCCCAAACAACCGAAACCGTATCAAAGAGGATTTCAAAGTCTAACAACAGTTTATTTCAGTTTATTTCAGTTTTAATATCTCATGCGACTAACTGGTGGGTTTTCTGGGCATGCTCAGAGCGCTTCACAACAGGAAGCACGTTTTGATGCGCTGTAATTTGGTCTCCATTCATTTCCATGTCCTCTCAGTATATCCTGTTTGTGTTCTTTATATATAAAATGTTCAGATCCTCTATTGACTGGTTTCTGGAACATGCTAGTAACATTTCATCAGGGTGGAAGTTCCTAAATTCTCCGTCAGTTTTTAGCTGTTTGTGTTTCCTGCAGCCTCAAACGCAATCTTTTGCAATTATTCACTGCAAAAACTTAAATTTTACCATGTATTTTTGTCTAGTTTATAATGCAAATATATTCGGACACTTGAAATAAGACAGAACTAACTTATAAGTAAATGTTCAGAAGATACAGTAGCTTGTTTTGAGTCAATAACTCCTTAATTGTACCGGCAGATGATTTCACATGTAACATGGGGAAATGTTTTGTTATAATCTGCCAGTGGAACAAGAACTTTTTAATAATTATTGATTTAAAACAAGCTCTTATATCTTGCTGACATGTTTCTTGTGAGTTGGTTTTGTCTTATTTAAAGCCAGACAGAAGTAGTTGGTGGGATTTCGTGGTTTTTGCGTGTTTGAAGCGTTTTCATGCCGTTCTTCGCCCCGCTGTGCTCTGCAGCTCTTCCACCTCCGAGGGAACCGAGCGTCCAGTTGAACTCAGCCCAGTTTGTTGCACTGTGTCAAAATGTGCTGAAAGTTTTTAGTTTTAGCTATTTTTTTGTTTTATTTTTCTAACGTATTTATGTTACGCAGCACTTTTTCCCGGCCTGAATGCGTCATCGCTCACTTTGAAGGACTTTTTCTAAGATTTTCCTTTTTTTTTTCATTAATTCAACATGTTTTGATAATTTCTTTGTCTATAATGGAGAAAATCACATCGAATGTCAAACACTTTTTTTTAATATATTTCTTTTCAGCTCCACTACACTCTTGTCCAACTATGCATGGGAAATAAAAAGTTCTGAGAGACACTGACTGATTCAGAGTGAGTCTGAGTTTCTTCTGCGTACCTGAGAGGAAGTCCTTGACTCCTCGCCGCCGGCTTGTCACTCAATTTGTTTTCTTTTCTTCAGAAAACATGCAGAGTGCCGTTTCTGCTTCACGGAGAAAAGGCTGCATGAATCATCAGCTCTGCTTTAGAAATGAACCTGTGTGGGTTTATTCAGAGCTCCAGGGCCGAAACCATTCGCTGTGCGTAAAACGAGCCGATCCGGAGCGCGGCCTTCAGTTCTGGGACTCAAAACGAAACGGAAGCCATCTTAGCGTCACGGCGGAACGAGCAGAATCCAAAACTCATATTTAACTTCGTTAGGAAAGTTACAAAAAAACAAAATCATCACGTTGCTCCAGAAAAACTCAGATTAAACTTGTACAAATATGTGAATAATTATATTTTATAGTAAGAGGATGTCCAAAGTGTGGGTCGGGGGCCATTTGTGGCACTTGGACACATTTTGGATGGCCCTGACTGCAATTCAAGAATAGCACACTGAGCCTCTGACACTTTTTGTAATTTATTATGTTTTTTTTGTATCATTTTTATTTTCTTTCCTTTTTTCTTTAACTGTTTTTGTTTTGTAAACTTTTCTTTAACTTGTTCTTTTCAAGCTTTTTTTTTCTTGTATCTTGTTTTCTTTTCATAAACTTTTTTCTTCTTTTTGTCCTCTAACTTTTTTCCTCTTTTTTCTTCATTGTTTCATTTTATTTTATGTTTTTCCTTTTGACTAATTTTTGAAAGGCTTGAATCCTTTCTACCTCCCATCTGGGCCCGGGCCCCCGATGCCCCCTGAAGCTCCGCCCCTGGGTTTCTACATCCCATAAAAGTATATCTGAGTCATACCACTGACCGCCGTCATGGTGCAGGACTCTGTGCCGGGTTTGCAGGTTTTGTGTCTGTGCAGCCCCTCAGTGACGCTCTGGGGAACCTGTTGCTGCTGTCTGTTAGCGTTAGCTTCAAAGATGAGTCTCTAACATGTGTTTCCCATCCAGCAGCTGACAGCTGGGATCCTGCAGCGATGGAAGGAGCCGCTCTAACATCAAGGAATCAAAGTCACTGCTTTCTGTTTCTCTTTCCAGTCACAAAACGAACAGGGAATAAGCCTGATGCGTGTGAAAGAGGTCATGTCAGGTCATCCGTCCTAAAATCGAAAGTTTAATTAGTGATTCTTGAGACAAGGGACAAAATGGGATCAAATTTTGAAAAAACAATATAATTATTCCTTAAGGTTATGTATTCAAATATGACAAATATGGTTTAGGGAATGTAAAGAAGCTCCCAGTGGCAACATTATTTAAAAGTTACGTTTTTACTGAAACCAGAACTTTGTCAACACCATCTGACAGAAATCAATATAAAATTATTTTTTATAGACCCTGTTAGAGGTATTTTTACTCAGTTTTATGAAGTAAAAAGTAAAAGTAATGCAATTTAAATACATTAAAATGAATTAACTGCACACTTCAGTGAGATTTTTCAAGAATCTAACTGAAAGAGTCGACAAAATGCCAAACCCCCAGAGCTACCCGGAGCTAACTGGAGCTAACCAATGTGACTCACACTCCGGTAAGAAAGAAACAGGAAGTGGTGACGAGTTCTCAGCATTTCTGATCCCCCCAACAATGGCTGATTTTTTTTTTTTATCTTGTTTTGGTGTCTGACGAGAAAAACTTGGGACACAATTTCAATTTATTTGTAAAACACATAAAAATTGGAGTATTTAAATATATGGTTTCATCGGTATGAAGCCTCTCAGCTGTGCACCACAGAGTCGTCGTTGAATGAAGACATGAGAAAGGTGTCAGAACAGACAGCTGAGGTCAGGAGGAGCAGCAGGTCAGGGGTCACTGCAGCAAAAAGACGCCAGAGGGAAACACTCAGTACTCCACAGCGTGGATCCAAAAACTCCGGTCCGACTGCAAAAGAACCGGAGCGAGACGGAGGGAGCAGTGAGACGGGACCGGATCGTGTCCCCGACAAGGCGCCGCATGTCTCCTGACAGCAGGCCTGTCCTCTGATGTCACCGCGTCGCCTGCAGCCTGACGTCTGTTGTTCTGCTCAAACTGACCGAGGAGGCGGAGTCTGACCTGAAAAAGAAAAACCTCCAGGAGAAATGAGTTGAGACGCTCCGCAGGAAAAACCAAAAATGTTTTCTGATGAAAACGGATCCATCCATCTGTCCATCGTCTACCGGATGAATGTCTTGTTTCTTCAATCTTTAACTGTTGAATCCAATAAACGGATGAAGATTTTTGGTACCAGCAGAGAAAGTTTGGCCACTTTTTCCTGTGAAACCGTCAGATTCATTTTCTTCTTCTCTATCATGGATCAATTAAGAGTCATTAAGCAAATTATCTGGACCTGCAGATCATCCAGAACCATCAGCCAGACTGGATCCTCACGTTTTGCTCGGTAAGCAGAATCTTCCTCCCCGTCAGAGGATGATGATGATGATGATGAGGAACCAGTTCAGATCTGCAGAGTCAGCAGCTGCCATGGAGATGGTAAACTGATTCACCTGATGGATTTGGGTCGGGAAGGTCAGTAAGAAAAGGTTGGTAGTAGTTGGGTGAGTTGGGTCGGGTCGGTGTTTGTTGTTTTAACCACATTTAGATTTTACTTGATATTTGCTGATGTCTTCCTTCTTAAAGTTTCTTTCTAACTTGATTTTTTTCTCAGATCTCTCTTAATATATTAGTTTAATATTTTTAATAATGTTTTCATTGTGAAGCACTTTGTGTTTTTTGAATGTGAAATAAGTTTAAATGTTTATCAGAACAGCGCCTCCTATTGATGAATCATCATCACTGCAGTAAGTAAACAGGATCAACAGTTTTCTGACACTTTGGGGGAGAAAAAACACACAAAACCAATAAAAAGCAAAATTTTTCTCATTATTGTTTAATTGCTGCATAATTATCTGAGAGTGGAAGGAGCTGCTGTCAGTCTCCCCGGATCCTCTGAAGGTTTTCGCTGCATCAATCAGGCCTGCAGGCGGCTGGCGTCACAACCAGCTGCATGAAAGTGGCACAAACTGTGACACATGCACTGTTACAACCTGGCTCTGCAAACAAGTTTAAAATTAACATCAGAACAAGTTTAATGAACATCAGAAAGACTGAACAATGAGCCCAGGAAACTCAACTGACAGCCTGTTTTCTGCCTTATGTCGCCATGCAGACTCAACAAACTTTTCCTTGAAGTCCTTCTCACATTTTGCAGGATAATTACAGTTATTACAGGCGAGATGCCAAATCGGTCAAATCTGCTTGATAACTTCTGCACAACGAGCCAGAATTAGTCACCGTTTTATTCGTGGAAAGCCACTGCTGGCATCTTTCTACGAAGGCTGAACTTTATCCACTTCAAGGAAAACAACAAAAAGGCAGAAAGTAAAACCTGATGCATCCAGGTTTCATCATCCGGTTGGATCAGGAAAAACTTTTACATTTTCTCTCTGATCTTTTTGTTTTAAATTCTACCAAAAGTACGACGACGTGTTCGGCCCACTAAAAAAACAAAACAAATTTTCAACAAATCTCAGACATTTACTAGAAAAAAGCTACATTTCTTAGTTCAAAAACTTAAATATTTGCAAGAAAACTATTTTGGGATGAATCTCAGAAATATTTTAGAAAAACACTTTTTAGATCAAAACATTTTTTGCCAAGTTTAAAATTTGCTAGAAAAATTTACAAATTTTAAGAGTAATCACATAAATTTACTGGAAAGTACTCTCTAAAAAGTTGAAATCTTGTGAGAATAAAATCTACAATTTGGAGATTAATTTCAGGAATATTTTTGAAAAAAAAAAAAAAGCAGCTCAAAAAGTTTTAAGTGTGGGGAAAATCTCCAAAGATTTTTGATTAATATCAGAAAAAAAATGAGATCAATCTCAGAAATTTACTAGATAAAATTTTTAAATGTCTGAATTTCAAATTGGAAAACTTTTGTGAAAAAAAAATCTAAAATTTTGAGGTTACTCTTAGAAATATTTTAGAAAAAAATTCTGAGCTCAAAAAGTTTAAAATTTTCTAGAAAATTTGGGATTTCAGAAATTTTTAAACAAAAAAGTTTTTAAAAATTCAGCTTTTAATACTCATGTTAGTTTGAAGATATACATTTTTTCTATAAAATTTTCTACTTTCTAAGCTCGGAAATGTGAAATTTTTTCTAGAAAATTTCTGAGATCTCAAAATTTCTGTTTTTTTTGGAAGAACCATCCTCCATTTTTTCTATCAGTGGTTGCAACACGCCGTTTCTACCGAGAGTTCTAGAAAATAAAACTTCTGCAAGACTTTTGTCAGATTAGAGGAGCAGCATGTTTTTCCATCTTTAGTTCCCTGTAAGCGTTGGATCAAACTGGAGCCAAACGACCCTCACAACTGTTCACACACTCCCACTCAGTCTGCGCGTTCGTCACCGCCGCCCACCGCTTCTGACTAACACACACTCTAAATCTGCCGCCTTCCCCGGCGAGCTGAAGCAGGATCCAAAGTGTCTCACCAGAGAGTTGGAGTCGAGTCGGATCAGGGCTGAGCTGCTCATGTTTCACTTTTTTGGCCTCAAAACGGAAATAGAAAACTAAAGAGGCAACACACACTTTAACTTTGAACATTTCTTTCCCTCCAAACAGACAGAATGTTTGGATAAAAACATGAACTTTGGTAACAAAGTCCAAAGTTTGACACAAAAACCAAAAAAGCTTCAGATTCTTCAGCTGAATCAATGAGAAATCTCAACCATGAGACAGAAAAGACACAAAATACAATTTAAGATCCAAACTTGTTTCCAGTATGTTGCTTTAAAAGAAGAGTTTAAGTTTAGCACAGCTGCCATGTTGATAAATGCATTTATGGAGCTAAATTAGGACCAAATGTTTTTGTAATTAGGATTCAGAAACTAAAACTTGGAGACTAAACAATTTATCCAAACTGAAAATCAGAAATGTTTCTAAATAAATTATGAGATTTTAATT